ACTTGTGATCAAAAGGGCGAGAAGAGTTAGAAAAGAGAAGGAATGGAAACAAAACACAGGAAGGAAAGGGGATAAGTTATGTTATACTGTGGGGATTGCAACCAATGACATGAAACAAAATGTGTATGAATTGCTGAATAGAAAACAGAACTGCTCTGTAAACTTTCATCCAATTAGCAATAAAGCATTGTTGTTTTTGTTGTTGTTAAGTGCCGTAGAGTCGGTTTCGACCCATAGCGACCCTGTACAGGGTTTCCGAGGGTGTAAATCTTTACGGGAGTAGAAAGCCTGATCTTTCTCCCGTGGAGCAGCTGGTAGTTTCGAACCACTGACCTTAAGGTTCGCAGCCCAATTCGTAACCACTAAAAAGCATTAGGGGAAAAAAAAGAATATGATAAGTTTTGAGTCTAGTGCCTGGCACATAGAGAGTATTCAGTATGACCATGAGTTCACCAGTCATTAAACCCTGAAATTTTTCCTTAAAAATTTTGCTTGGTGAGAACCTAAGATTATACACTAACATACAAGCATCAATTAAATACCTAAACAACAACATGGCAATGTTGCAGAGACAACAGACCATTTTAATTCATAAAAAGAAATGAGAAAGTGGCTCAAACAAATGTCCAAGAAGCAGAGCCAGTTAATGTTTTTGACGAAGAAAAAATAATAGAAATGCCCAAGAATTCAGAAGGGTGATATTTATGTACTTTCAAAGGATTGAGACAAAGATCAAGGAAAGCATGGAGAACACGGAAAAAAAATAGAGGAAATCAGGAAAACATTATGAGAACTAGCACAAAATAAATGAACATTTGAAACAATAAAAAAACCTGCAAAAAGAAATTCAGAAAACTAATTCTAAGATTTCATAAATGGAGAATGCATTAAGAGGGCAAAGGAGTAGATTTGAATCAAGGAAAGCCTTAAATAGTGAGCTTAAAGATAATTCTCTCAATACTAGTAAGCTAGAAGAAAATTTAGAAAAAGAATGAAAAACTCTCAAGAAAGCCTGAGATTCATGTGGGACAACATGAAGAAGAATAGCTTACAAATGACTGGAATTCCAGAATAGGAAGAAACAATAAAATCCACAGAGAAAATTACTGAAGAGCTGTTGGAAGAAAACTTGTCTAACATTGTGAAATATGAGAAGGTACACATTCAAGAAGTTGAAAGAACCACAAACAGGATAGATCCCAAAAGAAAATCACTGAGACATATCATAATCAAACTTTCCAAAATCAAGGACAAGGAAAGTCCTGAAAGCAGCTCAGAAAAAACAAAAAATGACCTATAAAGGGAAACCAATAAAGCTAAACTCTGATTTCCCAGCAGAAACCACGCAGGCAAGAAGACAATAGAATGATATATACAAACTCAGAAAGAAAAAAAATTGCCAACCAAGAATCATGAACCCAGCAAAGCTGTACCTCAAATATGATAGCAAAATACTGACATTTCCAGATAAATGGAAATTAAAGGAATTTGCAATAACCAGACAAGCTTTACAGAAAAACACTAAAAGGTGTTCTTTGGCCTGAGAATCCAGAACAGCAGACGACAGCAACTTGAGATTAACAAAACAACATCATCTAAAACTCAATTATGATAAAGTGAAATAAACCCATAAAAAAATAGGGAACATAAAATATCAATTTATAATGAAGATAACTACAAAGCAAAAAGAGGGGATAGTAGATATACAAAATCCCCAAAAGGTGAAATCAAGTAAATTTCAAGATAAAAAGATTGCTTTAAGCTGAGGAAGAAGTTAATAAATTACAGGGTACCCTCAAAGAAAATTAATACACTTTCATACAAAACTACAAAAGAAAATCAGAAAGATTTAGTAAGCATTAAAATGACAGCAATAAAGAAAATGAAAAGAAAACCCACAAACAAAATAAACTTATAGTAGAAAATTACATGGAACAAAGAAACCAGTAGCACCACAAATAAGCACCTAGAAAAATTACAGCAATTAATTTATACCATACCTACTAATAATTATACTGAATGTAAATAGGTTAAATGCACTAGTCAAAAGACAGAGTGTAGCAGAATAAATAAGAAAACAGGATCCTGCAACATGCTGTCTATAAGTGACACACCTTAAAACAAAACAAACAAAAAAAAACACAATAAAAATCAAAGGATGGAAAAATATATATCAAGCAAATAGTAACCAAAAACGAACAGGAGTGACAATATCAATCAATGACAAAATAGACTTTAAGGCAAAAACCAGCATAAGAAACGAAGAAGGATACTATATTATGATTAAAGACTCAATTGAACAAGAGAACATAATCATATATACATAAACTCAAAAGAACTGAAGAAAGAAATAGACAACTCAACAATACCAGTAGAGATTTTAATACATCACTTTCAATGAAGGACAAGACAACTAGGAAGAAACTCAACAAAGAAACAAAAGAACTAAACAGCACAACCAACTTAGCCTCATAGACAAATACAGAGCATTTTATCCAACAATAGCACAATATACATTCTTCTACATGGTACATGGAACATTCTCCAGAATAGATCACATGTTAGGCCAGAAAGCAAACCTCAATAAGTTTTAAAACATCAAAATAGCACAAAGTATCTTCTCAGATCACAACACTAAAAAATTAGAAATAAACAATAGGAAGATCAAGGGAGGAAAAATCAAATACATGGAAACTGAGTAACACCCTGCTTAAAAGCTACTGGTTAATGTTGTTGTTGTGTGCTATCAAGTTGGTTCCAACTCATGGCGACTCTGTATAAGGTTTCTGAGGAGCACCTGGGGTGTTTGAACTGCTTACCTTGTAGTTAACAGTCCAGACCTGATCCTACACAAAAATAAAAAAATTTCCTTGATTCAAATGAGAATTGAAACACTGCATACCAAAACTTTTGGAACTGTAGTTCACAGTCCAGTGCTGATCCTACAGCACCACAGAAAAAAAAATTTTCCTTGATTAAAATGAGAATGGAAACACTACATGCCAAAAGTTTTGGAACATAGCAAAAGCAGTACATAGACAGCAATTTATAGCAATAAAGGTGCACATCCAAAAAGCAGAAAGAACCCAAATCAACACATTAACACAACATCTCCAACAATTAGAGAAAGAGCAACAAAGTAAGCCTACAACCACCCAAAGAAAATAAATAATACATGTTAAAGCAGAAATCAATGAAATAGAAAAACAATAGAAAAAAATCAACAGAAGTTGCTTCTTTGAAAGAATTAATAAAATCAACAAACAATTGATAAATCTAACAAAAGAAAAGGCAAATAACATGAATAAGTGATTTTATAGGTGATGTCACAACAGAATCAATGGAAAGAAGATGGCGAATAACAGAATACTACAAATAATTGTATTCCAACAAATTTGAAAATCTAGAAGAAATAGACAAATTTCTAGAAACACAAGACCTACCAAAACTAACACAGACTAAAGTAAAAAACTTGAACAGACCTGTAACAAAAGAACTTGATCAAGTCATTTAAACTCACTCCCCTTCACACACACCCCCAAAAAATGTCTAGGCCAGCATAGTTTTACTGGTGAATTTACCAAACATTCAGAGAAAAGTTGATACCAATTCGACTCAAATTATTTCAGAATATAGAAAAGGATGGACAACTCCTGAATTAATTTTATGAAGCAAGCATAATGCTGATACCCAAACTAGGCAAAGACATCACTAAAAAAGAAAATTATAGACCACTATCCCTCACGAACATTGATGTGAAAATTCTCCACAAAATCCTAGCCAATAGAATCTAACAACATATCAAAAATTAATACATCATGATCAAGTTGGATTCATACCAAGCATGCAAGGATGGTTCAATATTAGAAGGGGGAAAAAAATCCACCACATAAATAAAACAAGGGCGGCGGGGATCATATGATATCAATTGCTGTATAAAAGGCATTTGAGAGAACAAACAAGAGGGCGGATCAGGTGGAAGTGCAGTGAGGAGTTCCGCCAGCAACAACACAGAATACCAGACCAATCAGGCTCAGGGGATGGTCCCAGAACTCTGAACTACTTATAAAGGAATATTTAGAAAATTAGAAGGCTTACAGCCAGTGGAATTTGTAGCAGAAGCAAGAAATGCAGTGCTTTCAAAACCAAAGTGCTCAACTGCTCCCTGAGCAGCCATCATGTGCGAGACAGAACATGGGAAGGATCAGAGCCGCCACGGACACCAGACAGAACTGCAGAGATAAAGGTGTGGACACTCTTTTCTTTATATCTATTTATTGACCTCTCGCTGTCTGTGCACCTCCATTCTGGTGATTAGAGAGGGTGCCCAAGTGAGCAGAAACCCCACCCCGCCTCCAGAGTGTTCTATTATGCATGCACACAGAGCTTCTAAAAATTTAAAGGGACAGTGTCCACTTAAAACCAAACAGCAGCACAAAACGTCCACAGCTGGCCCTGAACTGTTTACCACTAGCAAAAAGACCTGAACAGGGGTTGTGGAGCAGGACAGGTAGACTAAAAAGGAAATAGGCTGATAATTAAATCCTGAGTTAAGTCATAACAATGAACAGTGGCATCTTGAAATTTCTCAGGAAGAAGAATGAAAAGGGAAGCCCTTCTCCTGATCACAACTACCTAGAGACAATCAGAAAACATAAAAAAATACCAAAATATACACCTATCTAAGTATTAAGGCAACAGATAACTTCTGAATATGCCAAAAAAACAGAAACAGATGATCATATCAGCACATGTCCAGAAACAAGATAAAGTGACTGAGACAATTGAGCTGGAGGTAGACCTACACTCCATGCTGGAAGGAAGGCAGGCTTTAGAAATGCCTGAGAAGGAATTCAGAAAAAATGATTATAAAATGTATCAAAACACTATACAATGGGTAGTTTGAATCACGGTGCGACAGAGTAGCTGGTGAGCTCTCACTTGGTGTTTGACTAGCCTTTTCTCTAACCTTGCTTGTCTGAGCTTCAGCGGAATTCCAAATGTCTGGCCATAAGGTGGGGAAGGACTCCGGAAAGGCCAAGACAAAGGTGGTTTCCTGCTCTCAGAAAGCCAGCTTGCAGTTCCCAGTGGGCCGTATTCATCGACACCTGAAATCTAGGATGACCAGCCACGGGCGTGTGGGCGCGACTGCGGCTTTGTACATCGCAGCCATTCTGGAGTACCTAACCACAGAGGTTCTTGAACCAGCAGGAAATGCATCAAAAGACTTAAAGGTAAAGCGCATTACCCCTCGTCACTTGCAACTTGCCATTCAAGGAGATGAAGAGTTGGACTCCCTTATCAAGGCTACAATTGCTTGTGGTGGTGTCATCCCACACATCCACAAATCTCTGATCAGGAAGAAAGGACAACAGAAGACTGTCTAAAGGATGCCTGGATTCCTTATTATCTGAGGACTCTAAATACTCTAACAGCTGTCCAGTGTTGGTGATTCCAGTGGACTGTATCTCTGTAGGGGGAAAAAACACAATTTTGTCTTTTTGTAATTCTATTTGAGCAACCAACCAAATTTCTGCATTCAAGTCTTAACCATATTTTAGTGTTACTGTGGCCTCAAAGAAGCTATTGATTCTGAAGTAGAACAAGTGAGCTTGAAAATAAATCTCTCAATACCACTAAGATAGAAGAACAAACAGAAAAAAAGGATTAAAAAAATCTGAAGAAAGTCTAAGATTCGTGTTGGACAGCATGAAGAGGAATAAGTTAAGAGTTATCAGAATTCGGAACAGAAAGAATCACACAAGTCCACAGAGGAGATAGTTGAAGAACTTCTGGAAGAAAATTTCCCTAACATCCTGAAAAGTGAAAAGATAAGTATTCAAGAAGCTCAATGAACCCCAGAAAGGATAGACTCTAAAAGAAAAACACCAAGACATAGAATAATCAAGCTTTCCAAAATCAAAGATAAGGATAGAATCCTGAAGGCAGCTAGGGAAAAGGGAAGTGTAACATACAAAGGCAAGCAAATCAGATTAAACTTGGATCTCTTAACAGAAACCATTCAGGCAAGAAGGCAATGGGGAGACATATATAAAACCCTGAAAGAAAAAAAACTGCCGACGAAGAATCCTCTACCCAGCAAAGCTGTCAGTCAAATATGATGGCGTAATCAAAACATTCCATGAGAAACAGGAGCTAAGGGATTTTGCAAAAGCCAATCCTATGATGAAAAACATCCTAAAGGGAGTTCTGTGGACAGAGAACCAACAAGAACAGACAATAATCAGAGATTGACATACGTGGCAGCATCACCTGGAAGTCATTCGACAAATGAAAGCATCGAGAACAGAATAAAATTGTAAGAACAAATTCAGAGGATCTGGGAGGTCAGTCTATGATCAAAACAAATACAATGTGAAAGAAAGTAAACACAGAGGAACAGAGATCTAGGTGGTGGGAAGGTCAGGTAGATTACAGGATAAAATAGACTGTCTTAAATGGAGGTAAAAGTTAATGGAATATAAGGTAACCACAACGGTGGGGTTGGGGTGGGGAGTTTTGGCGGAGGTGGAGGGAAGGGTAAAGACAGATAGATACATCATAGTTCGAGTGTTGTGGAGGGGAATACAAGAAGGGCAAGAAGATAGAAGAACAAGATAGACAGGGGAACACTGAGACAGGTTTGCATGGGCTAAGTGGAACAGAGGTAAATAGTGAAGCATGCTTAACCTTGGAACAACAGGGCTCTGTTATACAGGGATCTAGGCATAGTTTGAAGAGAGGAAATAATACTAAGATGTTTGACTGTCTTATGAATATTGGTTTTCCTTGCCTACTATTGTAAAATAGACACTTGAGTGGGATAGAAAGGAAATGTCATGAAACATGATTACAGAAAACTTGTTAGCCCTTCTTCAGCCTATAATTGATTGGAATAACTAAAAGGGACTCTAGAACTTGCCCAGTGAAACAGGCCTATTGCAAAGCCTTTGCAGAGTATAGGACATTAGATGGAATCCTGAATCCCTTCCAGAACCTTCTGAAGTGGGACATTCCCACTAGAAAGAACAAGTAGACCAGCCTGGAACAGCCAGAGTGACAGAAGATGCATCTTCAAAGAAATATCATCAGGAAAAAAACAAAACAAAAATGGCAGCATGACTGGCTACTACAAGAATAAGCAAGCTGTTCACCAGGAAGTCATCAAGGCAAACAATCAAGTTCCTTCAGGAAAAACCACCCCTCTAAGACTGAAACTCAAAGGGAACACATGATCAGGCATGCAAGCTTGCTGATGACCACATTGGTCTACTGGTGAGTGGAAGAGGGGGGAAAGGCGACAATGAAGAAATAGGCTGAGTTCAACCACGGTCCATCAACTCCCATGGACCTGGAGATGAGAGAGAGAAGAGGAAGGGCTGCTGGTCTAATGTGTGGTGAGACCTGGGGACACCTGAGCCCATGGACAAGGACATAGCCACAGAGGGCCAGAGCTGAGAGTGAAGCATCCAGCTGATATGAAGTGAGGGGAGAGACACAAGAACACCCAAATGTGCAAATAGTACCCATGTGACCTAGCCTCAATGGTTTGATAATCAGATCTTGTCTAGAGGAAGATTTTTTTTAAAAAAGAAAAAATTTTGATAAAGGAAACAAGAGTAAATTGCTACAATTTGATGAACCTGACCTATACGCATGGCGGTAGTAACTCTAAATAACAACAGAGAGGGAAGGAGTCTTCACATTGAGTATTAATGCTATCCCCTCTGTGCACAGGGTAGAGAGGGACGGGAAACTTAGACATTGGCTACCTAAAATGAGGGGACGATAAAGGCACAAAGTGACTGGCTTACAAGGTTTCAAGAGGGAGTA